TATTTGTGTACAGGATGAAAAATGACTACTTTTACATAATTGGCATTTCCCCAGCAACCCAAAGTGCTATTTTCATGACTTTTTTCAGTATTTGAAAGAAAAATCCCTCAGCTTTAATCTGATACCCAAAACATAACAATCAACCGATCCCCCTTTTTTTAAGCCAAATATTTTACCATAAAATAGCTGTAATTTTGGTAACTTATTATTCAAAACATTGTAGAGGATTTCACCAATGAATATCTATACTTTAGGCAATATTAAGGTTTTGAGAGACAGAAATTCACATTTATTAAAATATTCAACTTTTAGGTGTATTGAGTATTCTTTTTAAACATGCGCTTCAATGATTTTAACTTTATTTCACTATAATCTAACTTCAAATAAATATTTTGTCCGTGTCTCATTATAAAACCACTGAACGTGCATAATATTTGTACCTGTTATTCTTGTCTGTTTTAGGCCTAACAAATATCATCAGTAATCTTTAAGTGAAAAAGTATTTTCACACAAACTGATTTGTAAAGTCCGCGATGACCGATAGGGCATGTTGTGAACTTGAGCGAATGATAATACATCGCGCCATTTTGTCACGTATGACGGATACACCGAAAGGTTTGCTTCCTATTCACACGTGTAAGCCTGTACTAAAAGTATGAATGAACTTTTTCTTGCAATTGTCTTCCCTTGAAATTGGCTTCAATATTCATTGGGTAAAATAGTCAACAGGTATAATCTCCACATGATGTAGAAATTCAAGGAGGGCATACAAAGGGTTTATAGGTCTATAGGTCAAAGGGTTTTGGAATTATGGCTAATTAATAATTCATATGTACAAATGGTAATTCTGCTCGTGTACACGACGTATATGGGAAAATTCAGTTTTCACGGCGCGTAGCACCAGAAAATTTGTTGCTGCACAGCAACCCGTGGTCCGATTTTTATGTTTTTGGTATCAAAAGATGATATGATTTCCATGATAGTTAAGGTGAAAATTTAGGAACTAAAGAACAGCAAAATTTATAAACCAATTGGCAGAGGCTTTGTAAGATTTTGTCAACTGAGTTTGGCTTAATTGCAGATACAAATTTGGTTGTTTAATTTGCCATGGTGATAAGATTGTTAAGTACTATAAGGACTAGCAACCATGGAAAAACAGGGCAAGATGAAAGGATGAGGAATTTCTAAAGTTATTAAAAGTTTAAAGCTATATGTAGCTTCAGGAAAGTTGTATTGACCAAAATGTTAGCAATTATAGGAAGGGAGAAAATGAGAGTCCAATAATCCAGAGAAAACTTCATGTATGGGCCTCCAATCAAAAAGATTTATTCAGTGTCAAAAAGAACTGCCAAAGGTCAGAAACAGATTGAAAGGGAGAGAGTCTGTATAATTTGTCAGCTACGTGTACATGCAGCGGCGTAGCTAGGGTTCTCATCCTGGGAGGGGGAGGGGGAGGGGGGCATGTGGGGGCTTGAGGTTACAATGGAGGGGCTCCCAAAAATTTCAGCCCGGTAGACAAAAGGTGACATCAAATAGTGGGTGGGGACGGGGGACACCATCTTCACACGAGGGCACTGTTCAAAGTAACATATATCATGGCTACATTAGACAATAACTACCACTATTCGCTTTCCAAGGGATGTTACAGCCACTTGCGAAAAAATATAGTTTTGGTGAAATACGCACAAAATCGCGGGGAAAAAAGGGACTTTATGGTCTTCCAGCTAATCATAGTTACTCATACTGCTGTGTTTTTCTCCAGATGCTAAATTTTCTTTGAAATAACAGAAAGCCAGACAGATTATTTCACAGGGTGTTCTGTACTGCTACAATCTTTACTTAATCCAAGTAAGCATTTTAATAATAGTGTGGGGAGGTTAATTTTGGGACAAATGCAAATGATCCTCTATAATATATGCCTTTAAATAATTTGGAGGAAAAAGCTTTAATTCATAGTTATTGTTCACGTAACTCTCTCCTATGAAACATAAAACCTGCTCCATCAATCTAAAAACATGTGCATCATACTGTAAGAGGTTGGCAGCAAAAGAGAGTTTAAATGTACAATTGAAATATGAGAGTTTATCTGCTTGCAAACAACTATGACAGTAATTGAACGCTTACTGCAACTCTTTTTATTTGCATTTCTCTTTGGCGGTCCACCCGAATGAATGTTCTTTTTTGATTCTGTAGTGTATATGCATATAAAAATTCAAATCACAGTAATCATTTAATGAAGGAAAATCTCAATTCCTCTAGCTGTCTTTCTGAAATGATTGTTATGATCATTGCTGAGAAATCATTTTCAATTCTCTTTCTTCTTCAAATTACAATGTAGGGCAATTCCACGGTAACGGAAGGACGTTTTCACTCATTAAACAAAATTTCAAATGTGTGTATCACAGACACTGTTAATAGTTACAGCAAACAAATGTCACAATTGTATTGCTATAATGCTACCTTCAATTTCCTCACTTTTGGGGGGCATGAATACCTCTCGTTTATGAATTATGAATATTAATGAGGTCGGTATTGGAAGGACGGTAAAACGGACAAGGGTTTTCCAACTTACTCGCGTTTTGCGTAAACTCTGTGAATTTTATGGGGCAATTATATTTTAAAGGTAGGAAATGGAATCCCTGAAGCTTTATCAATACTTTACCACCTTTCATTTGACTTTAAGTGTTTCGGTAATATAATTACAACGTTTTAAGTGGATTATAATTTGGTAACGGAAGGACGGTAACGGAAGGACTAAAGGTTTACTCAATTATAGCATGAACAAAATGTGAATTTACACTAATTATACAAGTGAAACAAATTGCTGAAATGTGTAACTGAATGTGAAATCAACAATATGCAGACCTGGCATAAATAATCATACCCAAAAAACTATTGAGATAAAGATAGAAGCCTGCTAATTAATGATAACAAAAGAAATATGAAAACAACCAAAAACACGTCATTCACGAACACAAGACAACTACAGAAATGAACTTCAAATCCATCACCTCAATCCTTAAAAGTTTAAATACATAGTATTTGAGCACTTGAGCATATTGGTTAGGCCAAAAAAAAAAATAGTTCTGCTTCCGATTACATGCCTTTCAAAAATAGGGTCGGTCGGTCGGAAATCTTTTTTTTTTGGCCAATTTTTTTTATGCAGATTGAATGGAGTATTCAATTATATGCGAAGTTTTAGCCTGAACTATTTCTATTGCACTACGAAAACTATACACGAAATGGCAACAAAAAGTGAGTAAAACCTACCTTTAATTATTGTCAATATATTTACGTTCGATAATTTCAAAAAATAATGGAAAATTCAGGCCGTTCGCACCATATGCACAACGCTAGTCAAGACGCGGGGAGCTGGCCAAAACTCCGAGGTGTGTAATGCGTGCGTGTGTGGCGAGCGGCCCACCATGGGCCGTCAGAGCTGTTTTTACCGTCAACAATTTCGGGAAACACGCGGCATGTATCACTCCAAATACGAGTAGTGCGATCTCAAAATGAACTCCTGAACACAGAAAATACATACACAGACAAGCTAGATCAATTCTGTAAATTAACTTGCAAAAATGTTCTTTCTCCATTGGTGTTTTCTTGGCATTTTTACGATGTCGAATCCTACCAGTTGACAGTGGCCTGCACTGTACTGATAGCGCGCTATCGGTCACATAGCTAGCTATGGACTGGTTACCGCATTTTCATTATGTCTTCTAAATTGGCCCCTGCGCGGCGCGGCGGGAACCAGTCGTCGCCACGTGATTATAGTCACCGTGCGTGACATCGAATTGCGAAGTAGTTATATCGCGAAACGAATTTGTAATAACGGAGGTTTCTTTGAAAAAAAAGCGAATGTAAGTAAGAAAACAAATAAATACAAGCATTTTTGGATGCAAAAGGGTTGTTGAGAGGTATTTTGTGAGAGACAGAAAAGACAGATTTTATTTGTATTTATTCAATTTTTTTTTTTTTGGTTTTTTTTGGAATTGCCGATAACATTTTTAGGGTCGCAGCCTAAAAATAGGGTCGGTCGGGTAACCGGAAGCAGAACTATTCTTTTTTTTGGCCTTACATGTTCACCAACAACTTTTAATAATAATACCGGTAGGTTCAGTGGTTTCTTAAAGAGGGGGGGGGGGGGACCAGCCTACATGTGCAAGGTAAAAACATCTACCGGTAGAACTGATGGCTTCAGAATCATTGTGCTTTTAGGTGTTGCTTTTAATTGAACTCTAAATTCAATGTTTGAAATCAAATTACAATGATTTAGAGTAGTAACAATTAACTTATAAACATCCAAACTGAAGTTGTTCACTTGGGCATAATTTGTCAAAGATTGCACCTCACATGTCTTACACATGTAAATTGAATGAAAGTGCCCCAAAGTACCGGTACTTTCTTTCATCTCATTTTTGACTTAATTTGTTTCTGGAATGGCTTCACAGAAATTGTATCTTTCTCTATTGTCCATGAGTGCTGATGGCAGCAACTTTATGATTTGATTTTCTGCAACAACTCCATACATGTACAAGACCAGTACATGTACATCGGCATATATGTACATATGTACATGTACATTGTACATACATGCCTGTGCCATCCTTTGTAATAAACACCTTGCCCTGCTTATCCCGCTTTTGTGAAGGTGGGTCACATGAATGTCCTTTCAATGCTCATTATACATGCATGTATTTGCAGACTTTTAGCTTTCATTTGATGCCAAATTTGTTTAAGTCACATGTATTTGAATTTTTTGGTGTCATGTCCACTTTGGTGTGGAATTGCCCTGTATTGTCCAGGATGCTACAGGTAAAAGTATCAAAAGTTCTTTCAAACAGAATGTTGAGGACAAAAATCAAATTCACAAGAATCAAGTGAGAGAATTATGGTCTTGTACTGACATAATTTCATTTACAAGGGAAATCTGAGGTTCATTGGTGCACATTGTGATGAGTTTTGATGGAGCAGGTTGCATTCTTGATTTGACTCACCCTTAAGGTCATCCCAGTCACCATGATGATGGTCATCCAGCCTGTCCTCAGTGTCCTGCCTAGCCTAGGCACTGCTTCTTCTTTCGTATGGCGTGCACAGCCTACAGTTGTAGGCCAAAGGTAGACATCCAGGCCAGGGCATCATCGGCTACGGTGTGAATGGCTTTGATGTCGCTGGGGAAAAGCCTCAGTGGGCAGTCATTCACGATAGTCTAGGCACTGGTCTGGTCCATCCAATCCAGCCTCAGCATGGTTCACAAAAGTCAGTCTCTTCTGAGGACAGATTAAATAAAAACCAACAGTCAAACCTTAATTTGCTAATTTCCCTTTCAAATTCCCAGTCAAGCATTCTCGTTGTCTTGCTTTCCACGACAACGCACCAGACGAAAATTGAACTCAATTGCGGCGCCTGAAAGCGGTGTGGTACCCACATACATCGCGCGCGCAGATTTTTTTCGATGTCATCACGTGGTGCATACATTTACATAATTAGCAAAACAAAATGGATGACAGCCGTTGGAAACGGCGTTTTTTTTACAGACAAGCCACCGAATTGCCAATATTTTTCACATTTTTTGTGTGTGGTCTGTTTCAAGTCGATCATTAGGCTTCGTAAATGACTGCTGAATGTATGAGGTATGTAAATGAACTCTGGGATGAGATATTAGAGGTGAAAATGAAAAATTTTTGAGAGGCCATTTTTTTAGGGTCTCTTGCTACCACATTCTAACGAACAGGTTATGCCTCCAGCGTTACATGTGAATGAATATGGAGCATGTCAGCTGGAGTTACTCCAGACTGGGACCTTAAGTGCTCAAAACGATGCAAAAAAAGATCAGGCCAACTTTACTCACTCTTTAACCAGCAAATTCCTCCAAATCTGTTACTGGGTAAAATAATAGTTTCTCAGTATTTCACCAACCAAGTTTGAAAACTCAATTCCATTTTTAAAGGAGAGTTTTCTTCCATATTTGGCAGTAGCTTGCACAAGAGAAGGAAGTCAAGTGATTTCAAAATGAGGCTAAAGACTAGACTTCTACATGTCCATCCATGGTCCAACTGTTTGACATGACTGGCTTCTTCATTCATTGTCATCAGTCTGGTGCCTGACTAAGGGGAAATGTGCAGAAATAGTGGTATGGTACCCGACATCCTATATATTTCTTTTGGCACAGTCAGCTGACAGTTGATTAATGCAGTACTGAAGAGTTGTTGGACTGGTTGTTTCATGTGCCAGTCTATTTTCTTGTATTGCATGTTTTCAGTACCTTAAGTTTTGGGACTCTCATACACAGTATTGAGAGTCCCAAATTTTCGGACTAGAGTTACTCAAGCTACTTCTAAAGTAGCTGGAGTTACCCAGCCCTAAATTTTATCATTGGGTTGTCATTTAGGGCTGGAGGACAGTTTTCACATGAACCAGCAGAGTTGGCAGGTCCCAAAAAAAATTCGAAAATGTGCAATTTTGTCCCTGTTGCACACTAATTTCAACTGGAACTCACCCAAACCTTGCCTGGAATAACCATTACACAGGTCCTTGAAGTAAAAAAAAACGATCCACTATGAAGATTCAGCCTACAACTGTAGTGAAAAAACGAGGCAAAAATCGACAACCTTGCGGTCATGGCGAGGCCCGCAATTGGATTTGTGCACAGCGTGTTTACCAGTTCGTTCTTGCCGGCTGCGCTGGCTGATGGCGCATGACGTCACGCGGAAGCGGATTACCCGACGACTGTTGAGGTTTACCACTCGCATCATAGCTGCGATACTGGACGGCAACCAAAGTTTGCCGGTTATCGTGCATGAAACAGTCGTCAGGTATAATCCGCTTCCGCTTGACGTCATGCGCCATCAGCCAGCGCAGCCGGCAAGAACAAACTGGTAAACGCGCTGTGCACAAATCCAATTGCGGGCCTCGCCATGACCGCACGGTTGTCGGTTTATGCCTCGTTTTTTCACTGCAATTGTAGGCTGAATCTTCATCGTGGATCATTTTTTACTTCAAGGACCTGTGTAATTAAAATTAGTGTACAGTTGAAATTAGTGTGTAACAGGGACAAAAATGCACATTTTCAAAAAAAAATTTCGAATTATTTTTTGGGACCTGCCAACTCTGCTGGTTCACGTGAAAGCTGTCCTCCAGCCCTAAATGACAACCCAATGATAAAATTTAAGGCTGGGTAATTCCAGCTACTTTCTAAAGCAAAAATAAACTACAAACTAAGCCTAAATGTGAAAATCAAAATTTGACAAAGTTCGACATGTTTTTGTACATGGTGGAAGTGTACCCTTTATTTACGGAGGTAGTCCAGTAAATTGGCCACTATCTCCGCCCATGCAGCAGCCCGTCTTACACCACGCCCCCCCCCCCCCCCCCCCGCCCATCTAAAGCAGACGTTTCAAGGCTCACACATCCCACGACTGACGGCGCAATTTTTGCATCATAATTGTTTCCAAAATTAGTTTCAAATAAAGTTTACTTCAACACTCACCAAGTTGGCGGACCATTAATTCATCAAATTACTGTAATTGCAAGGCTCATAAAAGTCATTTACGGCGTAAAAAGTTCTCGAAAATTGGATGACCAAATGTGTCAAAATTCACGGTTTCGGCGAAAAATCAAACATGGCCGACTGAAAATCGGCTGGTACCTGGCGGATGCACATAAATGCTAGGCGTATGATGAGTACCAGGGAAACACGTGGATTGAAAAATTCAAAGCTTTATTCGGCGCGCGCAGCGCGTGGTAGCCTCGATTAAAGCATTGGCAGGATCGCTGCATGGCCATGCTGGTTGCCCTTCATAGTATACACGTACTGCAGTCAACATTGATCACTCCAAAACGACTTGAATAAAGATAGCATATGCCATACTATGCAGATATATTACAATATCCTTTATCATTTAAATTTTCCAGGAGCGAGCGAGCCGGGAGGCATTTTCAAACGTAGAGTCTGTTTCCTTCCGGCCTAGGCTTCAGGGGCTTGGTTCATGATTTTAACTGGTCTCCGACTAGGAAACTCGAATCAGATCAGTCAAGTATCAGCCCAATTTTCTGCTGCTGAATAAGTAATTGATTTATGAAGCAAAATGTTAATTTATTTAATAAGAAAAATTGTCGAGCCGAACAGCAGGCTATATAAACCGAGGTTGACGGGGGGGGGGGGGGGATTTATCCAATATGTTGATATGACAAGGTTTACCACGCTACTAGACATTTATATTACAGAAGTTATTGGACCATTGCCAATTTTCCTCGTCGAGAATACATTTTCAAAACGAATAAACGAAAACATAATATTTTCCGCATCAGATAAGTTATGAGTTTTTTCAATTGAATATTGCACTAAAATGCAATCAAAGGATATGATTTTTACATTCAGAAGAGTGACGTGTGATGTATGACCCCCCCCCCCCCCAAAGTAGGAGAAATCATCCTCGCACGAGGCTGTTTTTTGTTCATAACAGTAAAGCAGCAGATGGTGTGTGTGCACATCTCCCATTGGAGACTAAACTGCCCTCGTGTAAGAATATAACTTTAATATCTAATGTTTTTTTGTAATAACATTATTACAATCACATTTTTGATGACGGCATGATATCAGCACGGGAACACATCTTTAATTTTCTTCTATTATTTTAGATAGGCTACCTGTAAAATTAGGGGGGGTTTTGGTGATGAAAGCTACATATGTACGCTTTTCTTTTGCAGGCAATGATGAAACCTATGTCGTAGAAAAACACAGCCTTTTTATTATGTTGATGTTTTTTTAATAACGGTACGTGTAGTTGAATATAGTCATTTCGCGCGCCCGGATATTGTGGGAAGTTTCATACGCACGAAATTTGTTGGTAGTCATCAAGCACTTCAAACTATGTTGTGTACTTTGTTAACAAAAATATGCTGTAAAATTCATTAGCTAAAGATATTTAATATTGAATTGAAAGTACAGTTGAATATGAAACTGGCTTATTGAAAAGAGAGGTGCACGGGGTCGCTCTCATTGAGAAAGTGCACAGACTAGAAAATAGGATGCATTTCCAACTGTACTATAGGCACCCCGTGCAATATAAGAACAGTAACAAGGTCGTTTCTATAACTGTTGCATCTTTAGCCAAAAAGCATGGTCAAAATCCCTCCTCCCTTCTTTTCTAAAACTGATATTGTGATTACTTTTCCATTTTAAGTTCATGAATGCTTCTTAAAACCTTATTGACTGAAAAATGCATTTTCTTTTTAAAACAATGCAGACCTGTTGCGTCCTATCTTTTAGAAATGCAATTATTATGGGATTGAACTTTGAAACGGGAATAAAGCTTTCGAAAATGTAATACATCCTATCCTTAGCCCGAATGACTTATGAAGCGGCCTTAACCGCTCAAAATAGCTTAACAGTTAGTGTATAATTATATTGCTGCAGTTATGTAGAAGCTGTACAAATAATACAGGGTGAGTCAAAAAAGCAGAACCCGAACCCCCAAAATTTTATTTCATATTTAAAAAAAGGAATTGTCGTCACAATTGTCTTCAAACATCACCAGCGATAAAACATCAGTTTAAAAGTAAAAAATATTCAAAAAGGTCCTTTTGAAGGCCCGTCTTTCAATTAAAAAAAACCCCTGGATTGTATAAATCATATTGTTTGCCTAACCAGGGTTGTTAATAAAGATACTGTGTACTACGGTGTTTGACAGTTGTTGAAACATGTATACGGTGTCATTTTCTTTGTTGTTCCAAACAGTCAGAATACACAATATATATATTTTTTTAACAAGACAGGTTTTAGAGTAATTGTGTTTAAATGGTGATATTTTTTTAACGGATTGAGCAATTTCAGTAATTTTTTTCATCTAAAAGTAGCTTATGAAACTGGCTTTTCCAATCATTGTTATTTTTGGTGCTATATTTTTTTTAAATATCAAATTCATTTTTGGGGGGTTCGGGTTCTGTTTTTTTTCTCCCCCTGTATTTTAGGGGTACACGACAAGCTTGAGAAAATCGCATGGTTTAGTATACTGTTGCGGGCATCTCAGAGGGTGTCTATTGTCATGCATGTTACAATGAATATACAAAGGTTTTACTCATGCCTAGCTATCCCAGCGATACAAAACCATTGCCCTCTGACCCCGCCTTAACGCATCAGCTCTATAGGCCTTCATAACCATCCCCTTATGGAAGAGCAAATCCTGACACGTAGGCCTATCGCTATAATATTGCTTCAGAAACAGGGCATTCTTAAGCATGTTTACCTGTTTAAAAGTGACTTCGCGGTTGTCAAATTCCGAATTTTGTTTATAAATAAAACCTCTGCAAGAAACATATCATGAAAAGTTGATCCATTTGTCTACAACTTTGGAACAATGTGAGATTCCTTCAACGCGCCAAATGCCAATTTGACAATATTGACATTATTATATTATTCTAGAAAAGCCTGTGCGTGTTTCCCTTTGTAACCCAGATGTTTTCATGAAACGCGTGTGCCATTGTGCTTATATTAGGGAGGTTTCGCAAGCGGACGGATGCTGGAATTCTCTTGAATGAACTATTTTTGGAAAATGAAATAATGCTTTATCAGAAAATATAGGGGCCTACTTGATTCGGTTGGTTCTGGCTGAAAAAAATAGATTTTCTCGCATGATTTTTTTTTCGCGTGAAGCAGTTTTGATCGATTCGGAACTGATTGAACCGATCCGGAACTAGGAAAGTGACATCGGTACTTTTGACGTCATAAAATCAAAATAAAAATGGTCTCTCCGTCACTCAAGGTAAACTAAAGTTTAATCAATGTCACTTGAATTCGTGGAGTAGTTGAGCTGAAAGCAGCCTGAATGACGTTTGCTATCCGGAACTATATAGGAAAACGACTGTAACGTTTCATACGTTTAAAGTTTAGAGGGCATCTATATCAAGTTTCATTTTTTTTTTTTAAGCTTAAATCTCCCATTATTGGCAATTTTTCCGTAAGTCGTCTTTGTAACTCTTCATCTTGCCCCGAATTTCTACATCAGGTGAACATTTATCTATGGATTCAATTATACTCAACAAATAAAGCCAATTTCACGAAAAGAAAGCTGCAAAGAGCGGTAATGTATTAGGCCTAAGTGCGAATGCGAAGCGAAAATTGTTACAGAAAGCCCACGGCGATGCTAGCCCAGGACGCGGTCTTCATGGCTTTACACATTAGCGCGACGTTTTGGGCATCTACGCGAAGCAACAACCCAATCCATGTATGTACAGTATGTATGACATAGGCCTACATATCAATATCTTAGACCCAATCAGACACTGGAATCTGGAAATCATGAACCTTTTCAGATTTGGTTAAAGAAGATACTTTCCAAATTCATGCCAAATGGGTTAGGGGCATATATGATGTTTTTTGGTAATTACAAGAATTATTGTCTAAAAATCAACTCAAGCACATCCAGTGGTTTTTCGAGACTCGGAGTAAATATTTAATGGAAGTTAAATAAACAAGAAACAGAAACTTGGAAAAACGTTGGATTGTAACATGTTTACAAATTTAACTCAATACGGCTAAATAATTTGCATATTTGGATGTCAAATTCTGTCCTAAAACCACATCGACCATCACTCTATCACTTAACTCGTGTTTTTTTTTCTGTCCCTACAACAGAAGTTCTTATTTGGGTTGTTATATCTCACCAATTATATTGCGGCCTTATTGAAATAAATGTGCTAATGACATCACACGATAAAAGTTTCAGTGATAAAATTACAATCTATATTCAATTATCTTTCCGCTAATTTGCGTTGATATTATTGTTCATACTTGATGTGCGTTCCCAAGGCGTTGAGAAATATAACTTCAAATCTCAAAAATACTTAAGAGAATGAAGCGTCAAGTGAACAAATACAATTCAGTTCTTGTCCAGACCAGATTCGCCACCCAACAGTCTCAAATTTCAAAATTTAGGAGAGTAAACACATGCCTAAATTAAAATGAAAACCCTCCACCTGATTATAAACCAAGTCCCGAATTTCAAGGTGTTGATACTGATGAAGCGACGCCGTCAAAGCAGCACCAGCTGTGTATCAACATCCTCTTCGTATCTACTCGCTCTGTATTTAAAATAGAAACGGTGTGAATGTTACCACATTGACAGCTTTGTTTCTCTCTTTCATCATGACAATTTTCTACATGGTTCAGTTGATAGCCTCAATTTAATCAATGTGAAGAATGATGAGATAGAATTTTGTAAATTTAAGAAAAGAAATAATTATGACACGCATAAATGTGTATGTACAATCCAAGGGAGATTTCCCTGTAGAATCCCCGGGAGATCCTCTTTTATATAACATAATTGCGAAATCTTATCTAAAAAAGCAACTTTTTTCCTTCGAGAAATGTTTTGGCTATACTAGTCAAACATTGTCAGTCTTTTGCAAAGAACACTACCATTCAGTATTGGACCAACCAAATATACCCATCGTGGGTATAAACATTATAAGCATTTGAAATAACTTGTGACATTGTAGGCCTGCATGCGACATTCATTGTAAAACTTGATTACCTTGTCAGAGAATTACCCATCTGTCTGTTCTCGTTTGTGAGGAGGAGCTCGTTTGTGAGGAGGAGCTCGTTTGTGAGGAGGTCGGATGGCGTGCGGAGCTCGTTTGTGAGGAGGTCGGATGGCGTGCGGAGCTCGTTTGTGAGGAGGTCGGATGGCGTGCGGAGCTCGTTCTGAAAGGTAAGGTCAAGATATTGGTTGTTCTTCGTTCAAAAGAATAACTTCTCAGCAAATGACAGAGATAAGCCATCAAAACAAATGAGAGAAAAATATAGAATTGGCTTCCATTATGTGCGAATTATGCAGGACATCAAAATCTCGGAATTTGCGTGTATGGAAAATGCGTTCAATTGATTGGTAATGTTTTCGAATGCGATGATTCTATTTTATGATGATTGGCAACGAAAGAAATAATGGAGGTTCAAGTCCATGTTTTACGAAACTACATGAATAAAGAGCTATCTACCAGTCGATAAGATACTGCAACAGTGTATCGGTTGCAGCTACTTACCCTCTAAATCTTGCTCTTCGCGTACAGCTTCAACATCTATATACAGGGGGGAAAAGTTGTTAAATATCTGTATTATTGACATCGTTAAAATGAATTGTAGTGGAGGCTCGAACAGCTTTGGGGTAATCATGAGCTGTTGGGGAAATATTTGTCGTATACATTTATGCACTAAAACATTTAATTGAGGAGCATTAGAAGACGTGGGCAGCCGTGACGTTAGTCAGGCAGAATCAAATCGAAAAGTAATGTAACTAGAGTGAAAGTCGGGCGCGTAAGCGTTGATGAAGTAGCTACTACTTCATCAAAAGTAGTTGTAGCTACGAAAGCTTATGCACACTTTCACTCCAGTTAGTCATTTAAAGTGCTACTTTTCCATTTGAGAATCATTGTACTTGAGAATCATTAAATGAAGCATTATTCAAATTTGAACCTACACTTACCACAAAAGAAGGGATTATCTTCTCTTAACCTATTTCTGAACAAATAATTCATATCCTGTACTGACATGGACATACCTCGCTTGCTTTCCCCGGATTCGCCATCACAGCAACATGCGTCCTCTTTGGAACAAAATAAAAGGAAAAGTGCGTAAATATTTCAGCAAAAGATGAAGTTGTTCCAAAATAATATCAGTTTAAAAGTTAGTCTTAAGGGGCCAAATGTCTATATAATTTTGTGCGCCGGTTTAAGAGCATTTGGTTGGAGAGGAGAAAAATCATCTGATGTATAGGACAAACCAATTTGGCAGGTGTTTTTTACTCACCCATCAACACCAGGCCAAGTATGACCAGACAGCTCACAATTATTAACTTCATTTTGTCCACGCCAACAACTCACAGTACACGAATATAGCAAGTATCTTTGGGTAGAAGGTAAACTGTGACAACAAAGAAATAAACAAAGAAACTGCATATTTAAAGAGCAATTATTTTCTTGCACAATTAAGCGTAAAGTTTAAGAAGGTACAGTAACCGAAGTAGCTGAAGAATATTCGCAAGTCTAACAAGGCTCTACGTGTACTTGTAACTTGCATGAAGTGTTTAAGGTTCCGATGGATGTTTACCACGGGAATACAACTGTATCATCCTTTTCATAGAGTTTTAGTAATATTGACGAAAAAAAGAATAAAAATAGGCCTATCGAGAAAGAAAATCGACAGACAGGCAACTATTGGCCCGTCTGTCAGTTTGTGATACGCAATAAATGTGAATCTCACGTTAACTGCATTACAACATTTAAAAAAAAACAGTCCGGAGCGCCACTTACCTGTTCTATAAAGAATGCAAGAAATCTTCAAACTTGGCCTTAAATAGCATAAATATTTTCTTTTGTTCCCAGAATGCCGTTGAGAAAATAATGAATATTTATAATTCACCGGCAGAATTTAAAGGAAATTGAAGGATTAATTTTTTTAATATACTTCCGTAACAGTTTAAAACTTTGGAACACCTCTTTAAAGCAACTGGTGGAAGACTATTAATTGTCTTAATTGCTTATCAATACCTTAGCCAGACTGGTACCATCCTTGAAAACGGTTTTATTAGCTATTCTTTGCGGACTTAAGCCCCTCTGGAGTAAACACTGGTATCGAATTCTTGAAATGCGATAATTGTCATGGTTATTCCTCGTGTATTGGACCCCTGTCATATTTGAATATTAGTATAATTCCACACGTGATTAGCTGCATCAAAGGCCAAGTTCGGGCAAGGACCATTAGTCGACTAGTGGTTGATTTGTGACGTACCTTACGCCTGCGCACTGATAGCAACGTGCGAACGTCTCTAGTCAAACGCTGGTCAAAATGTCATCGCAAAACTTCCGGATCCTGGCTCTCTGCTAGCGTTATGAATGCGCGCGGCTATTGGTTACCAGCGAAGCAACCAACCCCAGTAGGCTGGTTCGTTGACTAGACAGAGTTCGGGCAAACGTTAGTTAATCATTGGTCAACTATAGTCCTTGCGCGAACTTGGCCTATACATGTATCTTAAAACCATCTGGTTGCACTAGCGCGTAATCCCCCCACCCACACCAATGTTTACCATGTAGTGTGGATATTCCTTTGTTTTCGTATTTAGCAGTAAGTAAAACCTGTGAAAAAAACTCATTTTACTCACACTTTGAAAACTCTTTCAACCCATTTTTTCTATGATTCCCTTTAGTGTTTCTTTTCATTTTGCCACCGATAAACCTAACCCCAAAATGCCTCTAAACCTGTTTTTCCAGACAACGTTGCTGCTACCTGGTTTAGGTGGACCATCTTTTTTGTTTGGAAGACCACATACACAGTGAATGTAATGTTTGTACACCCATACAAGTGTGTATTTGCCTGCAATCGGGTACCCCTATTGTCCCTCTTTTGTTTGTACTTTTTAGGAAGACCTCCCACTTGTTTTGTACACGATTTGGGAATTGATTGACAGCCCCCCCCCTCATGACCTTGTCGCCTCCCAAGTCGCCCCCCCCCCCCCACTGAGATTGTGAGTTTCTAAAAAATTATCATTGGTCTACATGACCCCCCCCCCCCATGAAATGTTCAAGCCCCCCCCCCCCCAGCACCCCCCCACTGAAAAATTCCTGGCCACGCCACTGTTTTGGGGAGAACAATAAACTTTGAGTGGTTTTTAAAGAATACTTTTAAAGAATACGCACGCACTTTTCTTAATATCCAGACGCTTTACAACGTAATTTTTATACTTTAGAGGTTTAGAAGAATCACGTTTCAAATTTTCAGTAAGATTACATTTCCCAAGACTAGCAAATTACGTCGACGTCTTCCATTCCTTCTGTATGCCCTCCTTGAATTTCTACATCGTGTGGAGATTATACCTGTTGACTATTTTACCCAATGAATATTGAAGCCAATTGCAAGGAAAAGTTCATTCATACTTTTACAGGCTTACACGTGTGAATAGGAAGCAAACCTTTCGGTGTATCCGTCATACGTGACAAAATGGCGCGATGTATTATCATTCGCTCAAGTTCACAACATGCCCAATCGGTCATCGCGGACTTTAAAAATCAGTTGGTATGAAAATACTTCAAAGTTTCACTTAAGGATTACTGATGATGTTTGTTAGGCCTAAAACAGACAAGAATAACAGGTACAAATATTATGCACGTTCAGTGGTTTTATCATGAGACACGGACAAAATATTTATTTGAAGTTAGATTATAGTGAAATAAAGATAAAATCATTGAAGTACATGTTTAAAAAGAATACTCAATACACCTAAAAGTTGAATATTTTAATAAATGTGAAATTCTGTCTCTAAAAACCTTAATATTGCCTATAGTATAGATATTCATTGGTGAAATCCTCAACAGTGTTTTGAATAATAAATTACCAAAATTACAGCTATTTTATGGTAAGAGTTTCTACAGGGTGACCCCCAAAAATGCAACCCTAAAATATTGATTGTTATGTTTTGGGTATCAGATTAAAGCTGAGAGATTTTTCTTTCAAATACTGAAAAAAAGTCATGAAAATAGCACTTTGGGTTGTTGGAAATGCCAATTATGTAGAAGTAGTCATTTTTTATCCTGTACACAAATACTTCTAACAGTGAAAAAAGTCTATAGTTAGTAAGCCCACTGTGCAATTATCTTTAATATTTTGACATATTCATGATGCTGAAAAGGTTTAAAATAGGACTAAAAAGGAGGAGATACCTGTTCAGCTGGAACATAAAAGGTATTTCCATCAAATTCATTTGCACTCTTGTCATATTATGTGCAGCGTTGTTTGTGAGAATTAGGACATCCCTTAACTGTAGTTTGTGTACAGGATGAAAAATGGCTGCTTTTACATATAAATTGGCATTTTCTCAGCAATCCAAACGCTATTTCATGTTTTTTTCAGTATTCAAAAGAAAAAGCTCTCAGCTTTAATCTGATACCCAAATCATCAAAATCCACCGATCCTTTTTTTTTAAAGGCAGATGTTTCAGGGTTGCATTTTTTGTTTGGGTCACCCTGTATAATGTTTTGAATATCGACCATCACTATCACATTTGACACTCGATTGTTACTTTGCCTACTAAGTTTGATGGAATGTCTATTGGTGTTAATGTGTCACCCTTTGTGTTGTAGCTCCCTTATTGTACGTCACAACACTTTTAGCCTTAGATATTTGTTTGGTTCCATTCTTTATTAAGTTGATTATTTTCAATTTTAATACATGATTATGTGTTTCCAAGCTCAGCTGTTGAGAAATGTACAGTAAGTGCAGGAAATGCAGAATCATATAATGTATTATACATGTTATTATATATATGCATGTATTGGCCTTCAACGCATGGAGCGTTCCACCAATGAAAAGCTGGTACAATCGTCTTACACACGAATATCCGCAATATCAAAAAGAAAAAGAAAAAAAATCGTTTCTCTCAAGAATTACGAATGCAGCGAATATAACTAAGTTGTACGGAGCGGATTCGTCACCCCGAATGTCATAAATGTTAGAGCTTAGAAGAGCAAACACAAGCATAATATTAACACTTCAATTAAAATAGGAAAGTTTTACCAACAACACCTGTATAATACATTGTAAGTCCTGAAATTAAAAGTGTCGATTCTAAAGTATGGCGTCAGAATCCTCTGCGTCCATGTCTCCGCTAGCTCTGCATTGAAAAGAGAAACAAATACGAACGTTACAAAATTGCAGTTTTGTTTCACTCTTTCATTGTACAAATTAATGAGCACATGAAGGATAAGTTGATAGCCTCCATTTCATCAATGTGAAGAATGATTCAGATGAATTTTGCAGAATTTAAGTAGAATTTGAGTCTGACAAATAGAAATGATTGTGTAAAGTTTTGCTTGGAATTGTTTGATCTGATGAACCATACATTGTAACTGCGAAGTCTTATCTCAATAGACAACGTTTTTATATGAGAAACGTTTCGGTTACTAGCAAAACTCTGTCAGTTTTACATCACAGAACATTGTCATATATAAACATATGGCATTGCACGTGCAGTATTCATTTTCATTACCTTGCCAGATTAGCATGCAAGTTGTCCACTACTCGGTATTAGCCTTTCTTGCGCCTGTGTTGTTTGGATAGACCCTCCCCGGAGGGACCGACGGGGCCGCCCCTTTTCGAAGGTTCGGCGGAGTGTAATTTTTCGAAGGCGAGATGCAGAGCTCGTTCTGAAAGGTACATCAGGCCACGAAATTAGTTGATACCTATTTCACATTTAAAAAGCTTATATTTCATGAATATAGCCTCAAACTGCGTAAGACGTGAGAGCTCTCTACCAGTCAATAGCCGCTGATACGGACAAGGCATTGTAGTTGTGTATCGATGGCAGCTATTAATTATACTTACGATCTAAATCTTGCTCTTCGTGTCCGGATTCAACCGTGGTATCTACAGAGGAATATATTTAATTAAAGTGATTATAAAACTTATTATGTATCCTTGTTATTGATAATTAAAAGTGAATTGTAGTGGATGCTTGAAAAGATTGGGGTATTGAGAGCCGTTGGAAATTCTGTATTAATACCTAAAAATTAAATACAATATTATATGCAGCTCTGAAACACTTACTTGAGATTCGTTGTATTTTAGAACATTGAATTTGAAGAAAACTTTGAGCAGTTATCACAAAAGAGGGGATATTTCAATATCTTCTCCTAATCTATTTTTGAACAAATAATTCATATCCCGTGCTGACATGTACATACCTCGCTTGCTTTCCCCGGAATGGCCATCACAACGTGCGTTCTCTTTGGAACAAAATAAAAAGAAAAGTGCGAAAATATTTCAGCAAAAAAGATCAACTTGTGCCAAAATAATTTCATGCAGTATCGCGTAAAAGCTCAATTTAAGCGTCTAGTCTTAACTCTTAAGGGCCAAATGTCTAATAATGTGCGCCGGGTTTAGAGTGTTTGATCGGAGAGGAGAAAAATCATCTGCTGTACAGGAAAAACCAATTTAGCAGGTGTTATTTACTCACCCAACAACACCAGGCCAAGTATGACCAGACAGCTCACAATTATTAACTTCATTTTGTCAACGCCAACAACTCACAGCATACGAATAGTATATCTTTCGGGTAGAAGGTAAACTGTAACAACAAGTAAATAAACAAAGAAAACAGGAAATGTATACAATTATTTTCCTGCACAGGCATGAAGTTTAAGAAGGTAATATCGAAGCAGCTGAATATACACGCATGCATAAAATGGCTCTACCGGTACTTGTAGCTTGCAGGAAAAGTTTTTAGATTCCGATTGATGTTTTCCACGGGAATATAAATGTACAGCTTTTTTTCTTAGAGTTTGAATTGATATTGATAAAAAAATGTACTATCAAAAATAAACTCAACAGACAAGCAACTACATGTATACATGTAGGTCCGTCTGTCAGTTTGTGATTCGCAATGAATGTGAATCTCACGTTAACTGCATGCATTACATACAACATTCAGAAAAACACAGTCCTGAGCGCCACTTACCTGTTCGATACAAGAATACAAGAAATCTTCAAACTTGGCCTTAAATACTCTGCGGTCCCTGCATGCCGTTGGGAAACATTCTTATGAATATTCATAAGTCACCGGTAGGGTTAAAAGAAATACCTTACAGTAGGCCTACAATGAAGCATAGGGCCTACATCCGAAAATTCCGATGAATAGGCCTATGTCTTAATTTGATTATAATTTATTGTTATTACCAGTTCGTGAAGATGCTACGTGATCGAAAAAGGCTGAGAAGTACAAATGCTTTAGTCTTAAAGAATACCAGAAGATCAACAATTTAGGGCAGAAATAAGGAAAAGGATGAAAACGAGCAGTCTCTTTAATGTAACGTGCTAAAGACTATCATTGCATTAATTGCTTATCAATACGATAGCCAGACTGGCAACATTCTTGAAAATGATACTCTGTAAATGTATATAATGCTCTTAATGGATTAAGCCCCTGTTGGGGTAAACACTTGTATCAATTTCTCTAAAACCGAGAATGTTCATTTGTATTACTCATGCGTCGGATCCCCGTACTTTTTGAATATTAAATGTAGTATAATTACACATCCGACTAGCTGTATATTAAAATCATCATGATGGAAAGTGATCTTCGTTTTCTTAAGTTCGGCTTCCTTTGACGAAATTTGTCAGTGTCAGCATTCTGCGATCCAACATCAAAATATATTAAAACCCTGATCATTCAAAAAAAATGAAAAAGCTCATACCTAAGATTGGTGTATACCTGGAGGCAAATTGTCATCACTGTTTTGTCCTTAAATGGTCTCACTGCCTAAAAAGAAACAAGGCTATCAACAAAGATTCCCCGTTTCACGAGAAGTGTATACTTCGCCCATGCTATTATGCAAATTTTGTGAGCCAGCTTTCACAACAGCTGATGATTGGCTGACGAATTGGCGCTACTTTTCAATTTGCATCCAGCGCGCACGTGTTCCAGACATGCGCAGTTGACCATTTTGTCCCTTCAAACATGGTGACTGGCTGAAATTTGACCACGAAATTTCCACGGTGAAAAGTTGTACATAATCCTCATGAATACCGCGTTGACTGACTAAAGAAAGGACGGGGGGGGGGGTAATACGTTGTTAAAGAACATTATTTGGGAGAGAACAATTAACTTTGAGTGATGTTTGAAGGATATTTCCACACACTTTTCTCAACTATCTGGACGCTTGACAACGTAACATTTAGGCCTAGGTGGTTTAGTAAAAGCCGTATTCACGTTTCAGATTTTCAGTAAGTTAAAATTTTCCCATTTTAAACGTCTTCCAAACACTTCTGTATCAACATGCCAGCCTCGAATTTCTGCATCGTGTGGAGATTTATCTGTGGACTATTTTATTCAATAAATATTGAAGCCAAATTCAAGGGCATACAATAATAATTGCAAAGAGCAGGTCATGCATACTTTTATATGGCTACGCGTGTGAATGGTAAGCCAAGTTTCGGTGTATTTACCATTAAGCATGTGCAACGTGAGAAATCGGTACGATGTAGGTAACGTTCTCTTGTAATGTATGAATATACTTAAAAGAAAAAAATATTCACATTCAAAAGAGATGAAAATGTATTATTCGAGTCTATATATCTTTGATGTTAAATATCAGGTTGCTTTTTTTGCTCTTTGTTTTTAGTGTGTTTTTTGAAAATGCACGTAATCAAATGAAAATTATTTTATTTAAAAAAAAAATGCTTTGGTCCAGATCGAATGTGAAACAATCAAATTGGAAGGACACAGTTGAGGACGGAAGCAGTTGAGGAACAGTTTCTGTAGTTTTGAAGTTTAAGGAAACGAATGGAAGACTGTTACTTAGTGCTTTAATGTCAAAAACATATAGCCATTACTGGTACCATCCTTGAAAAGGATCTGTTGAAATTACTTCTTAGTCACGAATGGAAATGGATGACCAATGTCACTAGTATCGATTTCTCGAAATGCGAGAATTTTCATTGCTATTCCTCATGTATTGGACGCCTGTCATATGTTAATATAAGCACAATGGCACACGCTTTTAGCTGTATCATGAAAACTTCTGCAGGGTTACAAAGGGAAACACGCACAGGCTTTCTGAATATTTCTAGAATAATATAATTATGTCAATATTGTCAAATTGGCATTTGGCGCGTTGAAGGAATCTCACATTGTTCCAAAGTTGTAGACAAATGTATCAACTGTTCATGATATGTTTCTTGCAAAGGTTTTTATTTATAAAAAAAATTCGGAATTTGACAACTGCGAAGTCACTTTTAAACTGGTAAACAAGCTTAAGAATGCCTTAATTGTGAAGCAATATTATACCGATAGGCCTACGTATCAGGATTTGCAGTTGCTAACTTGCCTTATACTCTTCCATATTGTTGTTGTTGTTGATGTGATGTAATGGCACGTTCGGCAAACTAGTGTCCTTTGTGCCATAAGCAATACTTCTGCGTTACAGAACAGTAGGCTAATCAGCAAAAAAAACCCGTACGACATGAAAAACAAAGACACTTCGTGAGAGCTGCGAGAGACAAAAAGAAAGAAATGCCAAAAAACAACCAAGCAGTGACAGTGACAGTTCGGTTATGAAGGCCTATAGACATGATGCGTTAAGGCGGGGTCAGAGGGCAATGGTTTTGTATCGCTGGGATAGCTAGGCATGAGTAAAACTTTGTACATTCATTGTAACATGCATGACAATGGACACCCTCTGAGATGCCCCCAACGGAGGTGTATACTAAACCATGCGATTTTCTCAAGCTTGTCGTGTACCCCTAAAATACAGGGGGAGAAAAAAAACAGAACTCGAACCCCCCCCCCAAAAAAAAATGTAGCACCAAAAATAACAATGATTGGAAAGCCAATTTCATAAGCTACTTATAGATGAAAAAAATTACTGAAAGTGCTCAATCCGTTCAAAAAATATCACCCTTGAAACGCAATTACCCTAAAACCTGTCTCGTAAAAAAATTTGTTATTGTGTATTCTGTCTGTTTGGAACAAAGAAAATGACACGTACAGTATACATGTTTCAACAGCTGTCAACAACTGAAGTGCACAGTATCTTTATAAACAACCCTGGTTAAGCAAATGATATGATTGATACAATCCGGTTGTTTGTTTAATTTAAAGACGGGCCTTCAAAAGGATTTTTTTGGATTTTTTTTACTTTTAAACTGAGGTTTTATCTCTGGTGATGTTTGAAGACAATTGTGACGACGATTCCTTGAAATCGAATTTTGGACGAAAGAGGTTAAAAGGGTCCTTGTGTTTAAATCGTGATATCTTTGAACGGATTAAGCAATTTCGGTAATTTGTTTAAGCTAAATTTAACTTGGCTTTCCAGTCATTATTATTTTTGGTGCTACATATTTTTTTAAATATGAAATATAATTTTTGGGGTTAGGGTTCTGCTTTTTTTGACTCACTCTGTATTATCTGTACAGCTTCTACATAACTGCAGCAATATATTATACACTAATTGTTAAAGCTATTTTGAGCGGTTAAGGCCGCTTCATAAGTCATTCGGGCTAAGGATAGGATGTATTACATTTTCAAAAGCTTTATTCCCGTTTCAAAGTTCAATCCCATAATAATTTCATTTCTAAAAGATAGGATGCAACAGGTCTGCATTGGTTTAAAAAGAAAATGCATTTGGATGAATTTCAGTCATAAGGTTTTAAGAAGCATTCATGGACTTAAAATGGAAAAATAATCACAATATCAGTTTTAGAAAAGAAGGGGGGATTTTGACCATGATTTTTGGCTAAAGATGCGACAGTTATAGAAACGACCTTGTTACTGTTCTTATATTGCACGGGGTGCCTATAGTACAGTTGGAAATGCATCCCATTTTCTAGTCTGTGCACTTTCTCAATGAGAGCGACCCCGTGCACCTCTCTTTTCAATAAGCCAGTTTCATATTCAACTGTACTTTCAATTCAATATTAAATATCTTTAGCTAATGAATTTTACAGCATAGGCTATTTTTGTTAACAAAGTACACAACATAGTTTGAAGTGCTTGATGACTACCAACAAATTTCGTGCGTATGATACTTCCCACAATATCCGGGCGCGCGAAATGACTATATTCAACTCCACGTACCGTTATTAAAAAAAAAACATCAACACAATACAAAGCTGTGTTTTTCTACGACATAGGTTTCATTATTGCTTGCAAAAGAAAAGCGTACTTATGTAGCTTCATCACCAAAAAAACCCCCTAATGTGACAGGTATAGCCTATCTAAAATAATGGAAGAAAATTAAAGATGTGTTCCCCGTGCTGATATCATGCCGTCATCAAAAATGTGATTGTAATAATGTCATTACAAAAAACATTAGATATTAAAGTTATATTCTTACACGGGGGCAGTTTAGTCTCCAATGGCAGATGTGCACAGACATCACCATCTGCTGCGTACTGTTATGAACAAAAAACAGTCTCGTGCGTGGATGATTTATCCTCCTTTTTAGAGGGGGGGGGGGGGGGGTCATACATCACACGTCACTCTTCTGAATTTGAAACTCATATCCTTTGATTGCATTTTAGTGCAATATTCAATTGAAAAATCTCATAACTTATCTGATGCGGAAAATATTATGTTTTCGTTTATTCGTTTTGAAAATGTATTCTCGACGAGGAAAATCGGCAATGGTCCAATAACTTCTGTAATATAAATGTCTAGTAGCGTGGTAAACCTTGTCATATCAACATATTGGATAAATCCCCCCCCCCCCCCCCCCCCGTCAACCTCGGTTTATATAGCCTGCTGTTCGGCTCGACAATTTTTCTTATTAAATAAATTAACATTTTGCTTCATAAATCAATTACTTATTCAGCAGCAGAAAATTGGGCTGATACTTGACTGATCTGATTCGAGTTTCCTAGTCGGAGACCAGTTAAAATCATGAACCAAGCCCCTGAAGCCTAGGCCGGAAGGAAACAGACTCTACGTTTGAAAATGCCTCCCGGCTCGCTCGCTCCTGGAAAATTTAAATGATAAAGGATATTGTAATATATCTGCATAGTATGGCATATGCTATCTTTATTCAAGTCGTTTTGGAGCGATGAATGTTGACTGCAGTACGTGTATAGTGAAGGGCAACCAGCACGGCCATGCAGCGATCCTGCCAATGATTTAATCGAGGCTACCACGCGCTGCGCGCGCCGAATAAAGCTTTGAATTTTTCAATCCACGTGTTTCCCTGGTACTCATCAAACGCCTAGCATTGATGTGCATCCGCCAGGTACCAGCCGATTTTCAGTCGGCCATGTTTGATTTTTCGCCGAAACTGGGAATTTTGACACGTTTGGTCATCCAATTTTCGAGAACTTTTTACGCCGTAAATGACTTTTATGAGCCTTGCAATTACAGTAATTTGATGAATTAATGGTCCGCCAACTTGGTGAGTGTTGAAGTAAACTTTATTTGAGACTAATTTTGGAAACAATTATGATGCTAAAATTGCGCCGTCAGTCGTGGGATTAGCCCCATAAATGTGGCCTATTTACTGGACTGCCTCCGTAAACATAGGCCACACATCCACATGTACAAAAATCGTGTCGACTTTGCCAAATTTGATTTTCACATTTATGCTTAGTTTGTAGGATTTTTTTGCTTTAGAAGCATACCCACCCTCTTTATAGGCTAATCAGAAAGTGCTGCCTTTTTCAGATGTTTATTTTTCGTGAAATTTCCAGATTCATTTTTACACGTTTGCGTATCAAAATTTCAACATGAAATTTCACAAAAATTAGACATCTGAAAAAGGCAGCACTTTCTGACAAGCCTATAAAGAGGGTGGGTATGCTTCTAAAGCAAAAAAATCCTACAAACTAAGCCTAAATGTGAAAATCAAAATTTGGCAAAGTCGACACGATTTTTGTACATGTGGATGTGTGGCCTATGTTTACGGAGGCAGTCCAGTAAATAGGCCACATTTATGGGGCTATCGTAGGATGTACTATGCTATGAGCCTTGAAACGTCTGCTTGAGATGGGGGGGGGGGGGCGTGGTGGAAGACGGGATGCTGCATGGGCGGAGATAGTGGCCAATGTACTGCACTACCTCCGTAAATAAAGGGTACACTTCCACCATGTACAAAAACATGTCGAACTGTGTCAAATTTTAATTTTCACATTGAGGCTTAGTCATGTTAGTTTGTCGGGTAATTCTTACTTTTAGGACACCTCTATTTTTTACGAGTTCTGTTGAAAACTGACTTTTGCAGATGACTGTCCAGTACCAATGTGACTTTTGCAGGCTAAAGCAGTCTTTTTTCTTCATATAAACTAATGTTAGTTGTAATTTTGAAAGCACTTTCAAAGAAAATGTGACTTTCCTACCTTTTTTCGCAGTCAGACGTGCATGTTGTAGTTCTCACACGCGTGAAAGCCCTACATAATAAAGGCCCGATGCTGATTGGCTGCCAAAAAAAAATAAATAAGATGTTTGTTTTTTATCAGCCAATCAGCATCGAGCTTTCATCGCATTGAGTTTTGAGGTTTGCCATCTTGGTTTTTGAGTCTGTTTTCTGGTTGTCATCGTCGTCTTTTACCCCTGAATTTCCCTCATTAATCAAAGCCCTGCCCTCTTTCCACAAAATTAATCCTGCTGATATTCAAGAAGGTGTCATTGCCAATTGTTCAGATGTGCCAAGAAATATTAGAATGTCAATTATGAGTGTCATTTAGTCAACTGTTTTGGTGAGTCTTTCCCTTCCTATATAGGAACAGGGGTCCTAAAAGTAAGGATTACCGTTTGTAGTTTATTTTTGCTTTAGAAGTACATGTAGCTTATGAGTAACTCCAGCTGACTAGCTTGAGTAACTCCAGCTGACATGCTCACATGTAGCGCTGGAGGAATAACCTGTTCGTTAGAATGTGGTAGCAAGAGACCCTAAAAAAATGGCCTCTCAAAAATTGCTCATTTTCACCTCTAATATCCCACCCCAGAGTTCATTTACATACCTCATACATTCAGCAGTCATTTACGAAGCCTAATGATCGACTTGAAACAGACCACAAACAAAAGATGTGAAAAATCTTGACGATTTCGGTGGCTAGTCCGTAAAAAAACGCCAGTTCCAACGGCTGACGTCCATTTTGTTTTGCTAATTATGTAAATGTATGCATCAAGTGATGACATCAAAAAGAAATCTGCGCGAGCGATGTATGTGGGTACCACACCGTTTTCAGGCGCCGCAAGTGAGTTTAATTTTCGTCTGGTGCGTTGTCGCGGAAACCAAGACAACGAGACGGAAAGCAAGACAACGAGAATGCTGGACTGGGAAATTGAAAGGGAAATTAGCAAATTAAGGTTTGACTGTTGGTTTTTATTTAATCTGTCCTCAGAAGAGACTGACCTTTGTGAACCATGCTGAGGCTGGATTGGATGGACCAGACCAGTGCCTGGACTATCGTGAATGACTGCCTGCTGAGGCTTTTCCCCAGCGACATCAAAGCCATTCACACCGTAGCCGATGATGCCCTGGCCTGGATGTCTACCCTTGGCCTACAACTGTAGGCTGTGCACGCCATACGAAAGAAGAAGTGCCTAGGCTAGGCAAGACACTGAGGACAGGCTGGATGACCATCATCATGGTGACTGGGATGACCTTAAGGGTGAGTCAAATCAAGAATGCAACCTGCTCCATCAAAACACATCACAATGTGCACCAATGAACCTCAGATTTCCCTTGTAAATGAAATTATGTCAGTACAAGACCATAATTCTCTCACTTGATTCTTGTGAATTTGATTTTTGTCCTCTTCTGATTGAAAGAACTTTTGATACTTTTACCTGTAGCATCCTGGACAATACATTGTAATTTGAAGAAAGAGAATTGAAAATAATTTCTCAGCAATGATCATAACAATCATTTCAGAAAGACAGCTAGAGGAATCGAGATTTTCCTTTATTGAATGATTACTGTGTGATTTGAATTTTTATATACACTACAGAATCAAAAAAGAAAATTCATTCGGGTGGACCGACAAAGAGAAATGCAAATAAGAGTTGCATTAAGCGTTCAATTACTGTCATAGTTGTTTGCAAGCAGATAAACTCTCATATTTCAATTGTACATTTAAGCTCTCTTTTGCTGCCAACCTCTTACAGTATGATGCACATGTTTTTAGATTGATGGAGCAGGTTTTATGTTTCATAGGAGAGAGTTACGTGAACAATAACTATGAATTAAAGCTTTTTCCTCCAAATTATTTAAAGGCATATAGGATCATTTGCAGTTGTCCCAAAATTAACCTCCCACAATAATATTAAAATGCTTACTTGGATTAAGTAAAGATTGTAGCAGTACAAAACACCCTGTGAAATAATCTGTCTGGCTTTCTGTTATTTCAAAGAAATCAAGAAATTTTGGTGATTTCCAAAGATCAATCAATTGACTGTTTTTTGGAATAAAGAGTGCTACTGACGAAATCGTGTTTCGTGTTCAAAAGGTGGTTGTTCACTGATTTCTTGAAAAGTGTAATATCCACTGAGCTGAAATTTCAACAATTATGAACTTTCTTCTTTGGATATTGACTTGTGTTATTATAGGAAACAAAGGAAATGCATGAAAAGTAAATGATCCTTTATGCCTTAATATGAACTGTTGCTAGTGTCAATAATTTTGTGCAGTAAAGGTACACACATACTCTATCCACGGTCGCTAAAAAGAATTTGTTTTCATATTTGGATTTCATAATAATGTCAGTTTGTCTTCAAAATATATAAGTTTATTTACCTGAAATCATTTGGATCGGACAGCTGAAATTTAAACAGATGCATTTTTTTCTGTGGATTGAAAAATTGCTTTTGATTGGTGCAAAGGAAACGAATATTAATTTTTTCCCAAAACAATTCTGCCTATATTGACAAAATTTATAAAACCTTATCCAGTGATGGAAAACAATAGATGCTTTCAATCTTTGCTTTCAATTTTTGGTGTTGTTGATGTGATGTAATGGCACGTTTGGCAAACTAGTGTCCTTTGTGCCATAAGCAATACTTCTGCGTTACAGAATAGTAGGCTAATCAGCAAAAAAAAAGACGTACGACATACAAAACAAAGACACTTCGTGAGAGCTGCGAGAGACAAAAAGAAAGAAATGCCAAAAAACAACCAAGCAGTGACAGTTCGGTAAAGCATGGAGGCAGGAGTGGGGGGAGCGCCAATGATCCGCCGAACATGCAGTGTCGCTGGTGCCCTGCAAGGCCGGACCGTTCACCATGCAATTTAAGGGCCCGGGCCCCGCCGGGTTCGTCGCAGGTCCGCAACGCCTTCAGGTGATGAGGGCAACACTGTGTCCAGCCAACCATTGACGCTCCCCTCTCCCGCACATGCGCAATATCTACAATATCAAGGAGGTGTGGCAAAGGAAAATAAATGAGCTGAACTATCACAGTTAATACTAATTATCATTTGCTGACAGATAATGACATGTAGATTTCCTGCTGTGATGTTAGCATAATGTAGGTGCCAGTCTGGTTCAGGAAAAGCTGTTATACACATGTAGCCAGCAGCGTAGCTGGGGGGGGGGGGGAGGGGGGAGTTTGCATAGGGGGGGGGGGCGCACATCCCCATAAACAGTTCGCCCCCCCCCCCACTGAAAATTTATCATCTGGAGAAAAACACAGCTGTATGAGTAACTATGATTAGCTGGAAGACCATAAGGCCCCCCCAAAAAAAGTCTCCGGTTTCTGGTATGCGCGCGCGTCGCCGTAGCCATGCGCGTCGGCAAAATGACAAAGTTTTTTTTCAATGAAAGATGATGTTTCAAAACCGCCAAACTCACTGGTTTGACTGGAATCCTGCTGCTGCACAATTTTAACGTGTTTTTAGATTGGATTATGGTCAAGAATAAGCTGTCTTATCTATACTAATGACATAAATCACACTCATAACACATATTTTATATTAGGCGAAAGCAGAGCACTTTGAGCGCCGCCTGTTCCCGCCGTTTATTGCTGATGGCAAAGATTGTTTGCCCTCCGATAACAAGATTATACATTAAAAATTAACAATTAACAAAATGGGCAAAGCCTGTTTGCCCTTCCAATGCCAAGATCCTTTTGGACCATTAGCAAAATGAACAAGTTGACAGTTTGCACTCTAATAACAAAATGAAATTGCAAGTTTGGTCACATTAAACCCATTATCAAGACTTTTAGAATACCAAGTCTCACATCTTAAATATACCATGTTGTATTATGCAAGATTTAGATAACACATCATCGGAGAACGCGACGTCCAGGAAAAAGCAGAGATAAAATTGTTAAAATGCTCTGAAAACCTGTGCCCAACAACATTCAACGCTCTCCTCCGTGAAGGTGTTGGACTTCACCTTGTATTATAACATATGTTGCCACAAATAATCTTTTTTCCAAATATGTTTCTATAAACGTTATTTCGAAAATAGTGTTGTCACAGTGGAGTGCTCGCTAGAACTGACTTCATTGTCACAATACCTCTCTATTAAACCTTACTGCCCACGCCCTATTATATAATACCACCTGGCTTCGTAATGCACACTATGCATTGTCTGAAACTCTAAGACAAATATTTCCCGCTATACTGCGAACCGCTGGCAATGAATAGTCTTATCTATACTAATGACATAAATCACACTTATAACACATATTTCATATTAGGCGAAAGCAGAGCACTTTGAGCGCCGCCTATAATAGAACATTACCAAAGCAAGGGTTTTATTAAATTAAAATTAAAATAATTGAAATTGACATTTCCTTCTTTCACGATATATACAACTGTACCATAATTGTCAAAGTACTCCAAAAAATTAAGTTATACTTTCGACTGCAATCTCTCTTTTTAGTCTTGTATTTCAATCAGAATCTACAACTCCAGACTCTGTGTGACCTTTAGCCTCTTTTCTAGAGAATCTTTTATGTAACCAACTTTACTTTCCTCTATTCTCCACCTTTCGTGTCGCTTCCGACACCGCTCTTTTACGTCATTATTAGCAGCTGCTGTTACGCCACCTGACCTCTGAGAGTGCAAGCCTGAATTTAAATGAGGTGCTACTGTCTGAAGACAACATTTTGAGGATACATTGCCTAGCCCTAGTGTAACTCAGTTGTTTGTCTTTTGACACTAGTTTACACACGTTTTTCGACCTGTGTGCTGGTTTGAACAAACATTCTTCTGATTTAGAGCTTATACCTGCTGTGGACATGTATCTCATTAGCATATTATATGGACAAGCTGAACTTGAACCTTTAGCAATTACGACTTCATTGCCTGCCCGATACTGATCAGTTTTACTCTTTTGAATGCACACTGTAAAGTAATCTGAATGAACTGAAATATCATTACATCTGATAGAACTTAATTCATCAAATCTCAAGAAAACGGCGAAAGCTATAGTTATCATACTAAGATTCCTTATTACCAATAAATCTTGGCTGTCATCAAACTTATTACAAAGCTCAATTAACATCTCTGAAGTGACGACATCTTTCTTGATAGTCTTCAGACCTGTCGTTCTTTTTGCCGACTCGTGAAGGTTTCTAACAAAAGCGTTGTCTGTGGGATCGAAGAGACCGTTCATGTCATGTGCCCACTTGATGCCATATATTGCTGATGAAATGACATGATGTGACAACCCCATCTGAAGTAGCTCTGTTATGTACACTGCTACGTGAATTGGCTGAGCTGGTAAGTCTTTGTAACTGTTCTTGGTGCAAAAGTTATGCCACCTCCTAAAGCTCCCATAGTACTTGCTTATGGTGCTGTCACTTCTTGAAGACATCATGTACATGTAGCTACACATCTTCTCTGCAACGTCTTTTCCCTTAACTCCTCCTCTTTCCAGTGCATCTGTGAGGTTGTGCTTCAAACCGATACCTGTCAGAATAAAACAGTGTACGTATCAACTTTGGCCACAATTCTTAATTCAAAAGACAATTTTCAGTGCTATTAGCTTGAATCTCACTGGATTTTCGCCGAAAATACCATTGTTGCCTCGCCCCCTGTAAATCAAATTGTTTTGTGGTAAGACTTCTTTGTCCAACACAAAGTTATTAAATGTTTCACAATCTGAAACCAAAAACGGCCAAAATGGAGCCGATTTCCACATGAGAATCACCAGTGTTCCTTTAGCTTCATCCTTTTGCAATTTTTTTCAGTACTCTCAGAATTAGCCTAGGAGGGGGAACCAGCCAGTTGCATTCACCTGTCCAGTTCTGACTGAATGCATCTACACCCTCTGTTCCAAGACACCACCACCTGGAGTTGAATCTTTTGCATTTTTGGTTTAAATTTGACGCAAACCTGTCTATTGAATGGGGCCCCCATCTCTTGTCTAGGTACTCATAAACCCATGACTGTAATTGCCAATCATCACTGTCTGATGTCCTGCTCAGAGTGTCTGCCAAGCAGTTATTTTTTCTCTGTATCCATTCTGGTTGTAAGTTTATAATTTTCTGTTCACAAAACTTATTGATACTAATGGAAATGCTTTGGAGGTCTGGTTTTCTACTGCCAGATGTTAGAATTCGCTTCACATTTTTGCTATCAGTAAACCACTTAACTTGTTTGCTGCCCAAAACCTGAGCATTACTTCTCAATACTCTTTCTACGGCTGCAGCTTCTCTCCAACTGGAGCTTTGCTGCGCTTCCTGTGGGTTCTATGAACCAACTACCGGTACCTCTGTGCCTTCGGCCACAGCTCCCACACCCAGGGAAACATATCCGCCATAACCTATTGCGGATGCATCACTGAAAGCATCAATGTCACAAACATCTTTATTTCAATACTTAATCCTTTGTCATTTAGGATTTTGACCTTTTGTTTCCAATATTTAATCTCCTTA